CACCAGTGATCTTATTTTGAGTTTCCCAGGACATGAAGTTCTTTGGTATCACAGGTAATGTTGACTGTAGGCATTTGAAAGGTTAAATTGCAGCTTTATCTGGGGAAGGGAAATTACTGTTTCTTCTTTTCTGCATTTTCTTTATTCATCTCTGTAAGATATTTTTAATTGAAATATTTTTTTAGGAGGTTTTTGTGTTACTTCTGGAATGAATGGTTCAAAGATGTTCCCTCCGTTGAGATGTTTCGACAGATATCAAGTTCCACCGACAGCAACAACAAAACTACTTCTGAAAATGTGCACAGAACCTTGAGGAGATCCTGTCCTTCCATTATCCCTTCTCTATTTGAACTTGCAAGTGGTTCTTTCAAGCTTCTAAGAGAATTTAACTCAGGCTTCAAATCAAGAACATCTCATACAGAACAATTTGAAGATGGAACTTTATCACCCCTGTCCACCCCCTCCGAGGTTAAATTCTGCAACAGTGTTATTGCTGAGTGCAGAGGTCCCGAGGGGGAGGCACAGCAGAGGTGTGCATCAAGTTACAAACAGTGGATTTTGCTTAGAAGTAAACAATCACAGCTTGACTGCAATTCAGCGACACCAAATAATACCTGTCCAAAATATAGCTGATTTGTACTTCAGGTTTTGAACAGGAAATCTGTTGTATCTGTGTAAGAACTAATTTAGCATTATTTTTGTAACATATATGGAAAGTTTACATAAATTGACTTTCCAAAGTAATAAAAATGCAATAATAATAGCAAGCCATAACCAATGGTTAGTCTCAAAGGTCTGCTAAAAAATGATGTCCAATAAGCCTTGAAATAGATTTTTGTAGGTTAATTAATTTAAGAGAATGATGTCCAACTGTTGTTGCATAAATGTATTTATCCCTTTAAGTATTTTTCTTTTAAATTACCTTATTAGTGAGAACAAGTTCATTTAGGCTCATGATAAGAACAGAGGACTTAATGATGCCAGAGAAACACATCTTTAATTACATGAAAACTATCTCAAGGAGGGATTTAGAAATTTCTCAAGAAGGGTTGGGAGAATGTTAGCAATAATCAGTTTCAAACAACCAAGAAATGATTTGGAATTTTCACCTTGAAATATTACAAAATAATAGGATAATAATATTATTATTTATAGTGGAATGGATAGGACACTAGTTCAGTACAGTCCTAAGTGAGCTTTGAATAGCCTTTATATTTAGAAAAATGGCTAAATGTTCACCTTGTAATTAATTGATTTTAATTGCCCTAAGACAGTGGCACTGACTAAATGTTGTTTCTTAATTTCAAGCTAAATAGTGGCTTGTAAAAGGACCGAGTCATAGGCATATAATATTCTGTGAGACAGACATTGGGAATGATGTTCTATGGAAAACAGTAAGTTATGGTCATTTAAATGAAAACATGTTGCGAATAAAAAGTATAAGTTATATATTTGATGGAATGTGGAGAATTTTGTACGAAGATTTAGAACTTGATGATTTCTTTACCAATATTTGCAGTTAGAAATGTCAACGGTATTAAATAAAGTTAGGTGTATAAAAAAACTATTACTTCCTACAATTAGTTGGAATAAAATGAGAAATTAAACCACCCCTCCCCACAAATCAATAATGAAGTCAACTTAAAGCAAACTGTGCAGTTCGTTTCATTATTGAAATAGGGGTGGGGTGGTGTTACAGTAATTTTTCATGTGAAATAAAACCACTCCTGGCCTCCCCCAAATCAAGATGAACTAATGCGAAAAGCCAACATGCACTATTTTCTCTCTCATTGAAATGGGGGAGGGGAGATCTCAAATTTTCATTTCTATTGCCCAGGCCCAGGTTGTTTGAAAGGTGGATAATTCTGTCCAATGGATAAATCACTATCCTGCAGATAGCGTGGTTTGTTTTGTTAAGATTTATCTGATGGATAGCAATTTATCTGATGAATAGCGCCATCCACCCTTCGAACAACTGGGGCCAGGTTGTAGTATATAGACTAAATTTGTTAGTAACAATGTAGCGTAATCACTGGAATTTCCTGATCGAGAAGGAAATTTGTTTTCAAAAGACTAATTTCTGTAAGTTAAAATTCAGCCTAAAACAATAGACCTCTACGAGGCTCTGGGGAATAACTACAGAGTTTGTGGAGTTTATTTCCCAGAGCCTTGTGCTGAGGTCTATTGCATTAGGCTGAATTGTGATATATCGAAATTGGTCTGTTGCAATGATCTTTATATTTGAATATTATTATACTTAAAATGTACCTAATAATTATTAGTAATGGACATCTATTTTGATGACTGGATATTGTAGTAAAAANTCAACGGTATTAAATAAAGTTAGGTGTATAAAAAAACTATTACTTCCTACAATTAGTTGGAATAAAATGACAAATTAAACCACCCCTCCCCACAAATCAATAATGAACTTGACTTACAGCAAACTGTGCAGTTTTTTTCATGATTGAAATAGGGGTCGGGTGGTGTTACAGTAATTTTTTATGTGAAATAAAACCACTCCTGACCCCCCCTAAATCAAGATGAACTAATGCAAAAACCAACATGCACTATTCTCTCTCTCATTGAAATGGGGGAGGGGAGATCTCAAGTTTTCATTTATATTGACCAGGCCCAGGTTGTTTGAAAGGTGGACAATGCTATCCAATGGATAAATCACTATCCTGCAAATAGTGTGGTTAGTTTTGGTAAGATTTATCTGATGAATAGCAATTTATCTGATGGATAACGTTGTCCAGCCTTTGAACAACTGGGGCCAGGTTGTAGTATATAGACTAAATTTGTTAGTAACAATGTAGCGTAATCACTGGAATTTCCTGATTGAGAAGGAAATTTGTTTTCAAAAGACCAATTTCCATCTATTAAAATTCAGCCTAAAACAATAGACCTCTACGAGGCTCTGGGGAATAACTACAGAGTTTGTGCAGTTTATTTCCCAGAGCCTTGTGCTGAGGTCTATTGTATTAGGCTGAATTGTAATATATCAAAATTGGTCTGTTGCAATGATCTTTATATTTGAATATTATTATACTTAAAATGTACCTAATTAGTAATGGACATCTATTTTGATGACTGGATATTGTAGTAAAAATAAAAGAACAAAGCTTAAAGCTGAAAAGAGACCTGAAAAATAAAACAATTCAGCCAGTTTGCCGTGACAAACGTTTTTACTGCAGGCAAATATATGTACTTTTATTCTGCATTACAGAAAGGTTTCAACTGTTACGTGACATTTTCAAAGTCTTACGTCATAAGTCGCGTTGTGAAACGAGGAGCTGTAACATGGAGTGTTTAAATTTACTAAGTCGGTTAGTTAAGTGGAAATCTTATCAACTGATTTTTCGTGCATTGCGCCATTGCTGAACTGATGTATGCACGCCTAAAGCCTTACTCTCTCTCTAAACTGAACGTTACCGCAAAATAATTCCACCTCATGGCCAGTTAATTTGAATGGTCACACGCCCGCTGTTTGGCCGCAGCCTAGAAAGGCACCTCCAAAAAAGTACCTCTCGAACAGTACTGCTAAATAGCTTTCATTTGAATGGTCAAACACTAGGGTTTGATCCAGAGACTTAAAAGTTAGAACCACATCGCACAGCGCAATAAACAGTACCACNATTCTGCATTACAGAAAGGTTTCAACTGTTATAACCCAGGCCTCCCAGATTTTTCTGGCAGGGAGAGCCCTGAAACGAGGGTGTAGCTTAACAGATTAAGATCTTTAACTTACTCTCCACGAAGTATGATTATCTCGTGAGACTATAAATGTTAAGCTAAATACAGTCTACAACTGCTCACGTGACATGTTCAAAAGTCTTACGTCATAAGTCGCGTTGTGAAACGAGAAGCTGTAACATGGAGTGTTTAAATTTACTAAGTCGGTTAATTAAGTGTAAATCTTATCAACTCATTTTTCGTGCATTGCGCTATTGCTAAACTGAACGTTACCGCAGAATAATTCCACTTAATGGTCAGTTAATTTGAATGGTCAGACGCCCGCTGTTTGGCCGCAGCCTAGAAAGGCACCTCGAAAAAAGTACCTCTCGAACAGTACTGCTAAATAGCTTTCATTTGAATGGTCAAACACTAGGGTTTGATCCAGAGACCTAAAAGTTAGAACCACATCGCACAGCGCAATAAACAGTACCACATGAAAGTACTGCTAAATAGCTTTGACTTGAATGGTCACACACTATGGCGATCCCGAGGCCCGTTTCTCGAAGGTCCCGAAAAGCCTTACCAAAATCTCAAACCTTATGACTTTAGAGCTGTTTTATGCACGTGTTCTTAATGTAAACAAAGGTTCTCTTCACACAAGACGTTTCAGGCGAATACACCTCTCTGTCGTTAAATACGGATTAACTAAAAATGGCTTGACGGGCTCGAAAAGTTTCCGGGCCTTTCGAGAAAAGGGCCCCAGATACTTGAAAGTTATAACCACGTTGTACAGGATGATAAAATTTACCGTAAGAAAGTTCTGCTCAATAGCTTTCATTTAAAGGTCACACACTAGGGTTTCATTAAAGAGCTTAAGCAATGATGACGGCGACCCCGAGACCAACCCCTAGTAAAAATTGAGTTTATATTCTACCTTCAAATTTCCCAGTTGTCTAGATCTGCCCAGTTCGCCTTTCGGTCTCGCTGAGAACTTGCTCAAGTTAAATATGTAATGCCAACGTTGAACTGCAAATGGAAATACGAAAACTTAGCTTCTGTAGTTCGCGTTCTCCAAAATACGCAGGACTTAGTCATTTCACATTGTTGTTTTGCAAAGGACAGCTAAGAAGTGTACAAAGGCTTACAACGCACGTGCACAGCCACTGTTCTGCTCATCTACCCTTTTGTTTGGAGGCGTTCCCGTTGCCGTTGCCGTCGTGGTTTGCTTACGCTTTTCGAAAACGCTCTTCAATCGTAGGAATTTAAAAACGCCGGCTTTGCGTTTTAGTGTGGAAGAAAAACAATTTGAAAACAGAGCTTTTCGAAAACGATGACTTCACGATAATAATGCGATTTTCCCTCCCCGAGATTTCAAATTCCTCCAGCGTAGGTCCACATTAGGGAGCTTAAGCAACGACGACGACGTAAATGTATTTACATTTTACAAGCGAAATTCGCGAATGTCTAGATCTCTTCGGTACGCCTATGACTCTTAAAACGTGCTTAAGCTAAATATGCAACGACGGCGTTCAATTCCAAATGGAAATACGAAAAATTAGCCGTCGTCGTCCACGTTCGGTAGACGACGCAGAGCTTGGTCATTTCACGTTGTTGTTTTGTAGAGGACGGCAAAGAAATGTACAAAGATTTATAACGCACGTGCACGGCTACTGTTTTGCTCATTAAACCTTTTGTTTAGTGACGTTCTCGTTGCTGTCGTCGTCGTGGTTTGCTTAAGCTCCCTAATAACAAACTCAGAACCCTGGAGTATGAAGAGCATCAGTTCACGTTTTCATAAAGAAAGAAAAGGTTTACGTTCCTCGTTATATTGGACTTTTATGATCCGCAAGACTCGTGTAACATGGACAAAAAGTGGCTGAGTATAGCGTCTTTTTACAAAATAAAACAATTAAACGAAGCTCAAATAAAAATAGTCCCTAAATAACTATAGCTCAGTTATACTGCCTTTATAACAAGATGGAGCGAAAACTTCTTAGCTTCGTTATATCCTAGTGGGTGATGTTGTCTCTTCGTTCCATTTTCCTGTCGACCTTTGTAATCCTTTTTGGCTCTTGATGGTTTTGCTTGTGTTTCTTCCTTGCCTTTTGACTTGGAATCTCTTTGCTTCTCTTTTGGCTCGCGCATTACACCTTTAATCCACAGTCGAAAAACGCCTTTGCGATGAAGCGGAGTTTTAATGTAAAGAAACGAAACGCCCTTATTCTCGTCCACTTTAAACAAACTCGTGTTTCCGTGAACGATGACGTAGTTAAATGTTCCGTTAAATTCTGAGAGCACTGGTACGAGCGTTAGGATTGGCTTAGCGGAAGTAATGTTGGCGGGAATTTGGATAGTGAATTTTTCCATTCGGTGTCGCGCAGATCGGCGTTTTCGCTGGCTTCCCGAAGGAGTGAAAGAGTATTGAAATCCATTGTTCTGTTGTGCTGTTTGCCAGTTCTGTTGGCTGTAACCCTGTTGATTGTAGGACTGTGACTGATAGCCAAGTCCTTGCTGTTGTTGTTGACCATACCTTTGGTTTCCGCCATAAAGTAACTGCTGCCCATAACCACCGCTACTCGCTGGCACAATACGGTACCGTGGAGAGGACTGGAACTGGCTTCCTGTTTCGTTTCTCTCCACCAGAGGCACTCCTTTGTCGCCATTGTTCCCTTTGGACAGCGCACACTCGTAACAAGCTTCTCCGTAAGGCGACAAACAATGTCTAGAAACAGACGAGGAGAAACAGGTTAGACAGGTTACGAAGCTAGTCCTTTAATAAACAGTAGTTTTCCAAACAGTATTCACATAGTGGTCTAACATTCTGTCTACTCACCCTCCCCCTATGGGATGATAATTGCGTGGACATCGGCAGCTATATCCGCCTAGTTTGTTGTCGCATCCAAAGCTGCAAGGACTCAGTCCCAGGGCGCACTCGTTCATGTCTGAAACCAAGAAGATTATATAAAACATCTTTTACTAGAAAGTAAATTTGTACACAAAAAAGAAGGGTGATCCTCTGAAAATGGTCTCTTTCTTTTCTTGAACTGAAAAAACTATTATTCAATTGAAATTACGTTCTGCTAAACTGTTAGTGAGTTCCCCGTAGATCAGTAGAAAAGTGTTCCAGTACTAGACTTTAGAGGGAATAGGTTACAACAGTTTTAGTAATTCCGTGTGTTTTCGTTAATTGTGAGCTCTGCACTTCAAAAAGAGTGTTTTATCGGCAAAATCAAGGTCGCGTTGACATAACAAACAAGGACACATTTTGAGTCTCACAAGTGAAACTTTTGGCCTAAGCTTGAAAAGCGTTGAGCTGATATTTTCAAGTTTACCCAAATGAAATGCTCTCTGTTTCCCGTCTACGCCCCTTTTTGGCTTTACTGGATATTTCTTTTTTTTTTTCTCCTATAGTTTCGAGCCATTATTGTGATACTTCGGTTAATTTTACGACCAGGTCACCCGTGCTGAAATTGCCTAAAATTGTGTTAACCTGCAGGCCCCTCTTAAATGGGTTCACAGTTACCTTGACATGAGCGACCATCTGGTTTCAGCACATATCCATGTTGACAGGTACAGTAGAACGCTCCTAAGGTGTTCCTGCACTGAGCTAGTCCGCAAGTCAGGCTGCTGTGACATTCATTTATATCTACACAAAGATACAGAAAGTTGAGAGTAATACCACTGAGCGAATACGAGTCCGCGGTGCAAATTCTGCTGACGTAAAAATGTTCACGTGCGTTCGTGCCGGGGCGCAAGCATGATTTTAACTGGTTTTCCTACTCGACGGATTTCGACTCCAGCGACTGACGTATAATTTCACGCGCGGTATCTGGCGTGACTTCCAACTGACTTTAGTACGTAACGTAACATAGAGAAACTATGTGTGTGGACGTCACGTGATAGAGTGATGTCACTTACCAACGCACTGATTGTAATAAAAATCCTGAGTAAATCCGGGGGGACATCTACAACGATATCCACCCAGCTGGCATCCGTATTGGCACACGTTTCCAGTTGCGCATGGATTGTTGCCTGTAATTACAACAGTGTTATTCATGAATAACTGACTACAAGACAAATAACAGAGAATATATCGTTTTAAAATCCGGCCGGAATTCTTTTGGGCTCCGAACCAATAAAGTACTCGCAGGTTTACAAAACAAAAAAAAAAAAAAA